TACATATATATATATATATATATATAATATCATTAAAAGAAAATAGTAATATTAAAATTTAAAAAACTTTTATCCACTTTACTTCAACAACTCAAATAAGACTCATGAAAAAATCTAGTTTATTTGCCTAATTATGAAATCGTGATTTTAGTTGTGTGATGTTTGAAGTTCTGTTTAGTTTTATATTGTAATCTAATACATTGTTTGTAATTGGTTCGATTATGTTTAAGACATTTAAACTTGCATCTTTAAAAAAAATTGTAATTTACTTTTAGTTGTGAAAATTAACATATTGTAATTTTTTTAGATCTGTTTCAGGTTTCGGGTTCGGGTTCGGTTATACCAACGGTGAGCGGGGAAAAGATGATTTTTACCTTAACGGGTTCCTCAACAGGGATCAGGGAAACCACGGGGACCCGATGGTGATCCCCGATAAGATCCCCGACGGGGATTGAGGCAGTCACAGGGACGATTTTAGTTATCAGTTTCGGGGACAGGGATACCAATAACCGGCCCGAACTTGGCCCGTTGCGATTCTTAGTTTTAAACAAGATCGAGCATAGCAGAGCAGAGCAAATCGAGATACAACGTCGATGAATTTGGATGAGGGCTAAGGAATTTGTCGAATTGGAATTTGAAATCTGTGGTATATGAGGTGAGAATTGTGAAATCAATGACTTAAGGAATTTGTTGGAATTGGAAAGATTCCTTCATATCTATTATGTGAACCAAACATGGTATTTGGAATTTGGTCAAAGATCTGGGCATTCCAATTCCACCAAATTCCATGAACCAAACACCCCCTAAAGATTTTATGTCCCATCAATCCAGTTAAAGTGTGGAGCGAAATTTCATGGATAGGTGGTTGCAACTCCTGAGATGTACCTTTTTTTTCCTCTTCAAGACACCTGTGTTCTTCGATTTCCTCCTACACGATAAGGATTGTCGTGGATTATAACGGTGCACATGCCGGAATCGTTCGTCACAAAACTAACATAGCCCTTTTCCCATACGTTGTTGCATCTCCCAAGACATGATTCGTCGACCTCGAGTGGGATTTGGGCCACTGAGCAGCATTGGGATTGGTGGAAGAGCGAGGAGGGGGTTTTAGTTGGTGGAGCTGGGGCTAGGATAACAAAACTGGTCTGAAAGATTGATATTCAAGACACTGGTGTTTGTCTTGGATTTGATATGTTTGGCAAGGGCAATAGCAATGGCGTGGTGCCAGATCGGTTTGGGTGGACTGTTTAAGCCCTGAAACAAAGCAAGCTAGAATACACTGGTAATCAGCCACCATTACCGTCTAGGATAACTTGAACAAAGTTGTCTGGTGGTTTGTATATGTTGAGGGATTGAAACGTACCTCAAAAACCCATAGAAGCATGCTCCACAAGGAAAGTTGCTTATTCCGATACATACACTGAACGAGTGTACTGTCTGCCCTTCCATTCGAGAACTTGCTATGTCCACCCTTTGTTCATCAGGATTGGAGTAAAAAGCAAAATAACGTTCTGCATTGAACACCCGAGCGAAAGGGTTTTCACAACTCACACTTGGCCGGTTTGGTGAAGTAGGGGTGTTGCAGTGGTGTTTGTAGAGATGGTGTGGTCAAGATTGGGGGTGGTTTTGGTTGAGACAAGCGGGTCACCAACTCAGTGATGGAGTGCTGAAGAGTATCTATCCTCATGGAGGATTGAATGTTTTTTCATAGAGAGCTAGTGAGGTCAACAATACTGGAGTGGTGAGTGGAGGATGTTAGTTCCAATGCTTGTAGGTGCTCAACCATCTCTTTCAATCGGGTACATAATTATACTCTCAATCAAAGCACCAATTGATAGCTGCTTTAGGATTAGCATGAACTCAGGGAATAGAAGAGAGAGAGTCAATGGGAATACAGGATACCTACTTTTCCTTGTACTATTTTGATACGTCTCAACCCGACCCACATTGGGATCGTATACATTTGCGTCGCAAAAGAGAGGCAGGAAACAAGTAGAGGGGGGTTGTTTGCAATTTACTTATTCTTAATTATCTTAATTAGTTGATTAGGATAGATATTAATTAGTTTATTAGGATAAATATGTTTTCCTATTTTTTAGGATTAGGGTANTTACTTATTCTTAATTATCTTAATTAGTTGATTAGGATAGATATTAATTAGTTTATTAGGATAAATATGTTTTCCTATTTTTTAGGATTAGGGTACGGCTTTATTYAAGRGACCGGCCACCCCATTGTTTGGATTCATTCTAGTATTTTGATTCTTGTCGTAGACATTGGAGATTATTGAGTCTCGAATTCCAGGGTTTATTTTAATAAGCATCCGATTAGTGGTACTTTGGCCGCTAATCTTAATTTTGCCAATTAATCTCATATCAAATTGGTATCAGAGCATCGATCTTGCGCCTGTGATTTTATCCACGCTACCATGACCAAGATTCAGGATCTTGAAGTTGAGTTGACCCAACAGAAGGCTGTCGTCGAATAGTTCTGCGCTGAGACGACGGAGCGGTTCGAAAACTTGGAGACCACCATGGAATCGTTGCGCACTGAAACGGAGAAGCGACATGCGGAGATGATGAAGGTCATGTTGCTACAGTTCCAGGCGTTAAAGCCGCCACCACAGCCGACAACAGCCGTGCCATCGCCAATCTTCACCGATTGCACCACACGGCCCATAATGCAGCAATCGAATCCGATTTTTGACGAGAATGGGGCGCCCCTGCCGCCTTGGCATGCAACCAGCAGTACGACCAGGGAATCGAACAGGCCCATCGGCACATAGGAAATTCCTTTTCCAGAGTCAGGTACGTTTGCTTTTTTTTAGACTGAAAGGCCGTTTGGCAGCGGGTATGGAAGGGGCTCAGGACCTTCGGGGGAACGGGGGTGGGTGCCGGGGACGGACTACCGTCTTCGTAAACGGAAGATGTCGTTGTTCGATGGAACTGATGCATATGGGTGGGTGTACCTCATGGAAAGATTTTTCGACGTTCAGGGATTTGTTATTACAGGGGAGAAGTTGAGAGCGGTGGTGTTGGGGTTGGAGGGACAGGCCCGCATGGTACCGATGCAGTGATTATAGGCTTCCTTTTCGTCACTGGGAAGGATTAAAAAACCGGTTGTTGGCTCGGTTCCAGTCATCTCAGGAAGGGGACCTATACGAACAATTTTTGGCAATTAAACAGGAAGGGTCGGCACGCGAGTATATAGGGAAATTTGAAATAGTATCGGCACAGCTAAGGGGTATTCCTGAGAAGATCATGCAGGGTACATTCCTAAAAGGGTTGAAACCGGAGCTACGAACTTCCGTGAGGTTGCTTCAACCAATGGACTTAGACCAGGCGATCCAACTAGCTCTGATGGTGGACAAAAATAAAACTGTCAGCAACGGGAACGTGGAAAAAGGGAAAAACAAAAGTCAGCCGGTGCGGACCGGAGTGGGCGGCTCACGGCTGTTGGCCGCCCCACCAACGGAAACCCAACGACCGACAACAGAGGGTAACGAGCAGCCGTTTAAACGGATGACAGACTCGGAACTGGCGAATAAACGGGCTAAGGGCTTATGTTTTCGATGCGATGGGAAGTTCACACCCGGACACCGTTGCCCCGAGAAAGCTCTGCAGATCATGTTAATGGATGATGAAGATGACGAAGGGGAAGAGTTAACACCAAAAACTCACGCACACTTGGATGCGGTGGAGGTGTCAGTACACTCAGGTGGTGGAGCAGTTCCATGCCTTTCACCTTGAGGACAAGGTGAATTTTCGAGGCGGGAGTAATGATACGTCTCAGCCCGACCCACATTGGGATCGTATAAATTTGCGTCGCAAAAGAGAGGCAGGAAACAAGTAGAGGGGGGTTGTTTGCAATTTTCTTATTCTTAATTATCTTTATTAGTTGATTAAGATAGATATTAATTAGTTTATTAGGATAAATATGTTTTCCTATTTTTTAGGATTAGGGTATGGCTTTATTTAAGGGACCGGCCACCCCATTGTTTGGATTCATTCTAGTATTTTGATTCTTGTCGTTGACATTAGAGATTACTGGGTTTCGAATTCCAGGGTTTATTTTAATAAGCATCCGATTAGTAGTACTTTTGGCCGCTAATCTTGATTTTGCCAATTGATCCATATCATATTTCCATTATATAACATTTCTCTTCCAATATTACACAGCACAGCAAATCCTAACAGAAAGATGCTTATTCTAAAAGCAACGTAACAAAGAGATAATTAGCCCAATGACCGTTTCCTGAGCTTGGCTTCAATGACTTTGGCCTCTGGATCTCAATAGTTTGCCATCATAACACACTTTTATGATTGTTATGACAAGATGTGGTGTTTTATACGATTTGAAAGACAGACATGCTACCAAAACTATGAACTCACTCAACATTAAACTGACTATTAAGTATTAACATGTAGTTCATAAGACATTAGGTAGAAATTTCCAAAGGAAAGGAGAAGATCCAAGTCTAACACATTATTATGAATGATGTTGAATTGTGATTGACTTTATGTATTTATTTCCAATGTTTTATACGGTTGAAATAAGGAGTTGTTTGATTCATACACAGAAATGAAAATAACATCCCTCAATTTAACCAGGAATAAAAATTTGGGCATATGGAAGAATAGACCGATTGTATTGTATAAAACCAACCAGTTTCTTTTATATTCATTTCCATTATTAACTGCTTAAACACCCCCCAAGTATTTAAATAACATTCTACTTTTATGTTTACCAAGTATAAAACATTCAATGCATTGAGTAGAAGCCATTATAGTAAAGTATAACTTGGTTTATATATAAGCAAATTCAAATATTGACCAACTTTTGTCCATCAACAATAAGTAAACAGATAGAGACCAGCACGATGTAAGACGTCGTCTAAAGGATCCAACTATCTTATCGATTTCAAGCACATGAAAACAACGATTCTAACCAACTGAATGTATATTTCATGAAAAACCGAGTTGGAATGGAGGGAAGAACCATAAAAGAATTTTGATTTTATACATTCCCCTCATTAACTAACTGTTTTTTTTTTTTTTTTGGTATTATCCATATTAGGATATTAATTTATAAAACCTGAATGATTACCTAGGTACAAGATGTCGTGTCCGAAGCATATGACTTGATGCAAATCTTACAAACTGAACCAAAAACAAAACCGAACATATCCTGCTTAAAAATAAGGTTTGGAGGTAGGATGTAAGCAGAACTGAATACTTTAGTGATTTCAATCTTGGGTGCGTTCAATAGAATCCTTTGACTATTCAGGTAAAAGAGAGAAAAGATTATCACCAGCAATGAAGTTTGAATGCCCAAGGATATCGAACATGTTTCATCTTCAAAGTTGACGCTGTAAATTAAACAAATTAACTCAAAAACCTTGTAAACAACAAACAAACTAATTCAAAACGAATTTAGAAGAAAACACAGCATGTTCCATGATCTTATAAGGTTTTTACAGTTGTTATAGCATTACCAATATGCCTAAACGAAGATCCATAAAAATGAGAATAGATTGTGAATGTCAAGGTTCTACGTGCAGCTTTCCTGCTTATGAATTATGTTTCGTTTAAGAAACAGGATCTATAAATGAGGACGATTGTCAATGGAAGTGAAGATCAAGTCCAGCACACATAAAACAGAAAACAGTATATGTTGTGGTTACATTTTCATTTTTAGCATAATATAATGAATGTAAAGAGCCAATTCAAGTGCAATAATGCATAACAAAACCAAACAAACCTAAGATATCCCACTCGAGAGTAGGGTCTATAGACCTTCTGTACCCCAAGGGGTAGAAAGACAGACTCTGTGAGTCTAGAAAAAGATTTTTCATTTCGCTGAAGTTTAGGAAAAGATACCGGAGAGCATAGGAGAAAAATACTAGAAAAAAAGTGTTGGTAAGCAGTAAACAATAACAATAGTAAAATCATATTCCAAACGTCACAAGACAATATTGTACTAGGACGAGATCCCCTTACTCCAACCATGCCAGGACCTTGTTATCATTTCTGTTGGTTCTCTATCCCTCCCGACATATACAGTAGCTACTAGCCCCTATTAAAAATCCTATGCTTTCAAAAAACTCCCATCAGAGGTCATGTGAGAAAATTCCAACTTATGAACGTTTCGCTTTCTAAGTAGTTCAGGAAATTGTTCCTGTATGGTTTTTGTGCCTACCAAAGAACTCCACTCACATGAGCATTAGTTACGTTGTCTTGAATTAGGAAAATTAAAGATTTCATGATAAATAAGAAGAAAGAGGGCATTAAATATAATGAGCTGATAAGTAGAAGGCATCTAAAAACTAGAGATAGAAATGGAATAGCCCTTAGGGAAGTCTTTTACAACAACATCATTGAATTTGCGTAAGCTTTTGTTTGCTTTTATCAAGTACCAAACGATCATATCACCGATAGAGATGTGATGATGATCAACTTAAAAGTGACCTTGACATTGGAGATTTAAGGCATTTGTTTATATAAATGTATCTATTATCAATCAACAAAAGTTAGGTAGATTAATTAAGGACATTCATAATCTAGTTTGTGACAGAATATTATCTAGCAATACTGAATAAGGTGATTTACCTTATAAGATTAAGCAAGTTCGTGAATCAAACTCTTCGTACCCCACATTAACAAGACAAAGACCATGAGGGGGTGCTGGTGGAGCCGTGGCGCGTCTGCATGTGGCATCCATCAGCTTTATCAAGGCATCATCTTCAGCACCAGCAGCTGCTTCCCTTATTGATGTTGCCACAAGAACACGAACCATCTGTCAAGCATGATCAGCCAATGAATTCTTAATCAGAGTGCCTTTCTGGTTTAACAAGGATCAAGGATACACAATTAAAATGGTACGTGTCTTCTCTTATTTTACACTAAATGAGGCTTTTTATGGAAGTAGATTTTTCACAGATGGACTCCAATTTCAGAACTTAAGGAGTAACAAGAAATAGAGGAACCATAGTTCAGATAACAAAATTATTGTTCACTCGTTCAATGTTTTGCAAACAACCCTTTGTTTAAGAAAAAGATGACGACACAGGAAGCGGGTCCTTTGTGAGGGTCGTGTAAAGAGCGATTGAGATTCTCGAGAACCTTTCTGAATGTCTGTCTCCGGGAGGGCTTTCTATATCAACTTTGCCTTGCATTTTGCAAAGAGGTGGTTTCTGTCACTCGAACCCGTTACCTTGGTCAAAAAGGAGTAATCACTAACTTTACAAGTTGCTCCAAGACTTTGCTTGAGAAAGTTGGTAGGGCACTACTTCCTCACATCAATATTAATTTATTTAAGAATCCAAGGGTCCTTCGTATCATTTTTCTATGAAATGAAGTTGGACTGCAGTAAGGAATATGATATACACCGGAACAAACTGGTCGGCTGATTGTATTGCAACGAACTAATCAAAGGATTTCCAGACTTTCGAGAGGTCTGGAGTCTCTCCCACAGAGCTTACGCT